CCTGCTGAAGCGAGGAGCGAATGTGAACAAAGCCGACAAATACGGTTACACACCGCTGCACATCGCTGCCTCCAACGAGCTATCACGATGCGTTAACATGCTGATAAAGTGCGAGGCAGACCTCAGCGCGAGAACTATCGGCGGTAACAGCGCTCTGTCCGTTGTCCTGAGTAAGACCCGGACTTCCCTAGACGTATTCGAGCGTAAGCTGGATGCGTCTCTCACCTTAAACCGGGAGGGATTTGCAGGCGAACTCGAACTGCAACTGGATTTTCATCCACTATTGCAACATCGACGAAACCGATTCAGTCGTTTGCCCGAAATCGGTTACCTGGATGCCTTCGTAAAGGAGGGCTACAAGGAGATTTTGGAACATCCACTATGTCAGTCTTTTCTCCATCTCAAATGGCACAAAATCCGAAAATATTACGCTGCCCGATTGTTCTTCTATCTGCTGTACATGCTAATATTTACGAGCTGGGTGATAATCGCTCTGGCTCACAACTGTTACAAAGAATCTACATACAAGCCTACAACAAATATATCAGAATCTATTAACGAGACTACAACAAATATATCAGAATCTATGTACGAGACTATAACAAATATGTCATTGTGTCATCAGAATTCCGCCTATCATGCTTTCAAAAGCAAAACGCTACTCCAGTCTAAGTGGTACGTGTTGGCGGTACTCAGCGTATTGGAGGCCTTCCGCAAAGTGAGCGTCATTCCCAGTTATCGATCCGTCAAACAGTTCTTGCAGATCGAGAACCTGGTCGAGTGGTTCGTGATACTCAGCGTGTTCGCTACGTCGTTCATGATCATGGACAAATTCGGGGAAAATGGCAATCTCGAATGGCTGAATTATCTGGGCGCCTTCGCCGTGCTCTGCGGTTGGAGCAATCTGATGCTAATGATCGGGCAGCTACCGGTGTTCGGCGCATATGTCGCCATGTTTACCAGCGTACAAGCACAGGTATTCAAGCTGCTCCTGGCCTACGCCTGTCTGTTGGTAGGTTTCACGGCGAGCTTCTGTGTAATATTTCCACGTACCAAATCGTTCGGCAGTCCGCACATTGGTCTCACCAAAGTCCTCGCGATGATGACCGGCGAGTTAAACTTCGAAAATCTCTTCTTCCCGCAGAATGAGAGTTACCATACATTCGAAAAGTATGATAGTTATCACAAATTCGAACACTTGACCTTCCTATTCCAGCTCATAATTCAACTCTTTTTTGTATTGTTCCTTCTGTTCGTGACGATCGTGCTGATGAATTTATTGATTGGCATAGCCGTACACGACATCAAGGGCCTGCAAAAGACAGCCGGTCTCACGAAACTCGTTCGTCAGACAAAATTGATCTACAATGTGGAGGCGGCAATTTTGGGATTTACGCCATCGAAACGCTTCAAGTTTATGCGATGGGCCACGTTGTTCTTACCATCGCCTTTACGCGTCGTCCTGACTGTTCGTCCGTTAAACCCCAGGGAGAAGAGATTACCGCGCGACATTCTCGAGGCCTCTTACAATATCGCCAAGGAAGCAGACGGGCAGAATAGTTTCACTTCGACGCGCAAGAAAAGTTATTACACAAAAGCGAGTCTCAAACGCGAGTTAAACGCGTGCCGTCGTTGCATCGGCGAGGACACGCTGATGCAGGATTGTAACAAATTCAGAGATAATATCGCGGAACTGAAGGAAATTTGCGAAAAAAATAATGCCCTCCTTCAAGAGCTTGTAAAAACACAGGATATAAATAAATAAAATTGTCAAGATGATGGAACTCTTTTCGTTGAAAGTTCGAAATGAATTCCGCTTCAAGTCGATGATTCAATCGTTATTCCGTTTACAATGAGGTGCTTCGAAATTTGGAATTCAGGAATAGATATACGATGAATAATTAAAATATCGCAAAATCGCGATATTTCTATGCGTTTTATATCTTTCAGAAAGTACTTGTTTATCTTTTTGCTTTATTTCTGTGATACAAATGGTTGTATGGTTGTATATCCAATATCAGTTGTATTAATTCCATCTTTATATATGTGAATCTTTTATTTAAAAAAAGAAATATTATATTTGCATAATAAATGCAAATAAATTATTTTGTGCAATTATAAAAGATATTCCCTTACGAGAGAAAAACTATTCCAATACTGTAAAATACATGTATTTTCGAATATTTAGTATGTATTTAGTATTCCTAATCTCCAAAGTAACGTGGGTTTCGTGACGTGAATGCTAACAAGCATATATTGACGAGACCTTAGAGAAAACAGGACAATCTACATTATTCTAAACATTCCTCCACAGTTGTGCACGTTTTTATAAGATGTGCGATCCGTCAGAAAAATTTCCTTATTTCCGAAGTCAATATCTATATATAATTAACCGACGTGGCATATTATTTTAAGACCGGTATAATTTAATTTACGGCTTTATGGCTTTACGTCTGTCTGCTTTTTATTATAACATTCATTTAATATTCATTCTCTTTCAATATTCATTCTCTTTTTTTACTTATTTTTCATTATTATTATTATATAATATTTTTAAATTATTATATATTCTTCAATGAGAGAAATCAGTTTTTGTAAAATTACATTAAATTTTAAATCTAAAAATAGTTATACACGGACTATTGTTACATATTTTTCATCAATATTTATTGTTACATATATGAGTAAAACCTGTATCGATTAAATTTAGTAAAAAAGTCTTAAATTTCTCGGTAGTGAAATTTCTTTCACTTTAAGATCTTCAATCAGACTCGAAGAATATATATAATGCTAATAGTATGCGTCGGCTGATAGTCAAAACCGGTTCCATTATGCATAAATTCTCTCGCCCGATCTCAACTTTCAAAATAGGATAATTCATCCGGCAACGAGATGAAACGAGGACGTTAAATTATAGAGATTTATCTCTTAGCGAGGAATGTAGTGGAGGCTTAAATTTTAGAAACGTTAAACTTTGTACTTTAAACGAATGCTATTTTCTGTGCTATATCTATCAGATTTACCCGTCACACAGTTTGATGCTTTTTAATTCACCGAATTGGTCGGCTGGAAAAAGAGTTTTGTAAAAAATTTATTACACGTTTCATCGCGTCGTGGGACTGAAGGATTCTCTTGTCAGCTCCTATAAAATCGCAACGTAAGACTATTCCGTGTCTCGAATTTGAGTGTTATTTTTATTGAAACAAGTACTAATACGAAATATACATATTTCATGTCCAGCGATTTCGTACATCAATTTCAGATTTTTAGGCAATTCGAAAATATCTCTTGATTTTGCATATATACTCAAAACGAATACAAAATTAGAAATTACGTAAACAAGTCATTATATCATATTCGCGATCACGCAGTGAAAGGTATTCGACTAGAGATATACGCAGTTCAGACTCGAGAAGTTATAAAAAAATTCGGCAATGTGAGAGAGAAAGAAAAGAAAAAGGAATACAAAATATTTTCTGCAATATACCAAAAAAAAATCGGATAAAGAAATAGATAATGAACAGCAAATTAAACGGAGGCAGGAATAACGAATGACGATTGATTTACCGCTGGATTTTCGTAATATTGAATGGAGAATGAGCTCTATTTAAATTTTATAAGCTATTTAAAACTATTAGAGTTTACCACAAAAATTAACGTGCTTAGTGAATTCAATTTATGTATTATAAGCACTTTTCATGCATCGCAAAGAGTCTTCTTATCTTTTATGTATTTAGTCTTTATCCTCATTGATTTTCAACAAGAGAAGCACGGTTTTATCATTACATGATTAAGAACGCAAATATCTGCATCTAAGAGTATTTTCTGAACGATAGCAGATATAAATAATAAAACATTAACAAATATAACATGTCCTAGAATGAAAATCGAGCGTCTTTCCAGCGGTACTTTCCAGCATCGTTCAGATCAAACCGGAATTTAGCAGGACAGTTTACCGTATGTACGAGAAGTAGATCTCGATATCGACCTACATCTCTCTTTATATTTATATATTTTGTCTGTCGCGCTTCTACCTCCCTGCTCTCGAATTCTTCTTCTCGAGCATTCGATCGACTGGCAAAGATGTACGCAAAGTAAGCACGTCGTGCAGTACGTGTAGTGCGATCGTATGAACCGGTCAAGTCCGTCTATAATGCTCGCGAGATCGCCGAGCGGGCAATGATAAAGATAGCTCGACAATGACATGACAAGACATTTCGAGCTGACGTATCTTCTTTATGTTAGGACATGTGCCTGAAATCCTTCTCGGCGTCCGTCTTTGAATTTCAAATGGATTTTTCTCGGTCAGTTCTTAGACTCTTATAAATACGGATCCCCAAAAGCAGGAACGGTAAACGGGAAGATAAAGTGGCGACTATATGAAGAGAAGAGAGGAGAACGTGAAGTTGGTGAAAAACAATTCGGCTCTTATTATTTGAAGTCTTGACATATTAAGACGCACCATGAATATTTTTAATATGCTACAATAATACACATTTACAAAATCAGTATTGACACTTCTGTTGGATCTTTAGTAATAAACGAAAAACGATAAAATATATTACTAATGCAAATCAAGAGAGATTGCTAAAATATAGCGCAATAAAATTAAATGTGTGTGTGAATGCAGTATATTATTTAATTAATGAAAAGATATATATTCTCGCGTGAAAGAAAGAATATAAAACATATCGGAGCCCAAAAAAAGCAACTTTATCCATCATAAATTATTCGGATGAATGCAAAATATGATTAAATCGGTAATCGGGATGTCTCTTCGTGAGAATCATCGATAACTACTTGGTGCTCAATTACGGACACTTATATCGGAAACTAAACACGATAAAATATTTGAGAACTGAAATAACTCTGAGAAGGACACGTGGAGCAACAGAGATGACAGGATTATTATAATCACAAATGGTTCGAACGAGATAAGATCTAGAATACGAGTCCTTGCCCGCGAGAATGCGGAAATAGCTGAGATAACAGGAAAAAACGACTGTAAAAATACCAACGACCAAGTCACTAGATTGCGAATGATTTGAACGAGATCGAATAAAAAAAATGCGTGTCCTCGAACTTGACTCAAAAAAATAGGGAGAGAAGCGAAATATTGTTAATCGGCAAAATTATCCTCGATCATAAATAAATTTCAATTCGTGCCAGCATGTACAAAAATGAGCGAGATTCGGAAGGAGTAAAAAACAAGACGGGTCTCAAGACGGACACTTTGAAGCTGCCGATTATCCTCGATGAGGGTAGACAACGTCTCTACTCCAGCTTCAATAATCGTCGGAAGGACGATTCGCTCTCCGTGAGATTGGCTTCCACCTATAGATCCTTGAGATGCGCGTACGCGGCAGAGGATTGTTCGCGAAAGATCACGATCGATGACATAAGATCGGCATCAGAGTCTGATAGTAAGCGGATCGAGATCGATGCCGGCGTGCCGCCACCGGCCGACGAGTCTCTCTTCTTCGATAACCTGGAATGTTGCAAGAATCACTATGTGAATGGCACGAAACTGAGATCGGCGATATGGTCTATCGTCGATCCGACAGAGACTAGGCTATTACTCAATATGGAGAAAAGCCGCGCTCTGCCGGACGCGTGCAAGAGCGAGAGATTACAGAATGTCGCTTACGTTTGGGCGTCCTATCGCGGTTTGCCGCATCTTCTGCCGGAGCTGGAGAAGGCCGGCACCCATTACGACTACGTAGAGCCGCGCACCGGCCTCAACGCCATCCTAGCCGCTTCGCTGGGCAACAGAGTCGACTGCGTGGAATACCTGATAGGGAGAGGCGCCGATGTCAACTACGAGAGTCTCATCACTCGTTACACGCCGCTTCATTTCGCGGCGCTGGGCAACAGCTGGCAAGTCGCAGCTACGCTGCTGGACAATGGCGCCAAGCTCAATTACATCTGTCAGGAAGTGGTCGAGCCGGTTTTGCATAGCGCCGTACGCGCGAAAGCGGTGGAAACAGTGCGACTGCTTCTCGAACGCGGCGCCAGCGTCGTCGAGAAGAATCACCTAGGTCAGACACCGTTGCACGTGGCCTGCTTTGTGCAGTCGATACCATGCGTTGAGCTACTGTCGTCGTCGACGCCAACCGGCGTCAACGCTGTGGACAGAGAGCATAGGACGCCGTTGCACTTCGCCGTGATGAGCACCGACTCGTCTGCCGAGTTGGTGCAGCTGCTGCTGAAACGGGGCGCTTTTGTAAACGCGGCTGATCGGACCGGCTTTACACCACTTCACATCGCCGCCTTGAACGAACAATCGCGGTGCGTCGACGCGCTCATTTGGGCGGGCGCCGATGTCAGCGCAACCACGTGTACCGGACTGTCTGCTCTGAATGTTGTGTTGAAAAAGATTCCCGAGTCACTGCATGTGTTCCGACAGCGATTGGACGCTTCGATCAGACTGACCCGACCGGTATCGCATAATCGTGAGTTTGAGATGCGACTGCACTTTGACATTCTCTTTCCTAGCAATAGTCAGTGCGAAACCAGCTTCATAAACACTTTCGTGCAGGAGCATCGGAAGGACCTCCTGTCGCATCCGTTGGTCATGGCTTTCCTACACCTCAAATGGGAAAAGATACGCAAGCTCTATCTGCTGCGCATATTTCTATATGCCATGACGGTGATATGCATGACCACTTACGTGCTAACCGCTTTAGCATACAAGTGTTACAATCACAACGAGGTTACCGACAACTCGAAGATATGCGGTAGCAAACGAGCAGTTCATTTTCTTTTCCGCAGACCGTTCATCGAGATTCAATGGTATCTCGCGCTAGTGCTGACGTGCATCACTATACCGAGGAAGATATTCGGCTTCATGGTTTACAAATCGGCCTTACAATACTTTTCCAATATCGATAATGTCCTGGACGGCGTGGTGATTATAAGCGTGTTTGTCACGTCCTTTGTTTATACCGGGCGCACCTACGATTGGCAGAATTACGTCGGTGCATTTGCCATACTCTGCGCCTGGACTAATCTGATGCTGATGGTAGGCCAACTACCAGCCTTCGGCACCTACGTCGCCATGTTCACGCATATCCAGTTCGAGTTCGCCAAATTGTTGCTGGCGTATTCTGGGCTGCTGATAGGCTTCACCATCAGTTTCTGCGTGATATTCGCGGGCGAACCTGCCTTTGATAACCCCTTCACCGGACTGATCAAAGTCCTGGCCATGATGGCCGGCGAACTAGACTTTGAGGGGCTCATCAATCCAGCGGATGGTGAATCGACGGCAAACGACTCCTTCGTCATTTATCACCCTTTATCGGTGTGCTCGCAGATCCTCTTTACACTGTTCATAGTATTCGTCACGGTGATTCTGATGAATCTATTGGTCGGTATCGCTGTGCACGATATACAGGGTCTGAGGAATCACGCCGGACTCACAAAACTGGTGAGGCAGACAAAGATGATACTTTTCACAGAGATGGTCTTGCATAACACAACAATTCCATATGCTTTCCGCAAGTGGCTGTCGGATCATAAAATCGATATTGAAAATAGGAAACGCGTGCTCGTGGTGAAACCGCTTAATCCACTCGAGAAGCGATTGCCCAAAGATATAATGAAAGCCGCATACGAGATAGCGCAAAAGAATATCATCTCCGCGAACGACGACGTCAATCTAAACGATCATGCTGCCTGGTTGAAGCAGAACGAGGAGGTCTCCGATGCCGTCTTACAAACGACGATTGAGAAACTGATGGCTACAATGAAAGTAAACGAAGATGCTATAAAATTGTTGAGAGTGCAGTTATTAGAGATGAACAAAATGCTGGAAACTGTTGTAACAACGTTAGCAAAAGATAAATACACCTCGTTGTAAATCGGACGATTCGATATCGGTATGATCTGACACTAATCTCGACGATACATTAATTTCATAATTGATCTTTTATTAGAATTTCTTTTATTAAAATTATTTCTGCATTTCTCCCTCTCTCTCTACCATCCATTTTATTAAATATATTTATACTTTTATTCATTCCTATATTTACTTTTCTCCCTTGTAGATGTACCACTTCCTGTGATTCCCAATTATGAGATGCAATTACATCTGATTGAGAAAGTTTTTAAAGAGATCTGTCTTGACTTATCTATACTCTTGATTTTAGATGAATTTTCTCTAATGCGCCTTATAATTTTATCTGTTACAGATTATATTTCCATTACTTTTTACGAACATGACTGATAAAGTGGACATCGAGGCCACAGTTAATAATGGAGGACCTACTGGTCAGTGTGGCGTTGTGCGTTGGGGTATCGCATGGGGTTTACGCAGCTTCGTAGACAGATCGTTGCTCGAAAAAATGCGAGTTGGTAAGGAACAATCGATACGAGAAATCACGTGCAAATATCTTAATACATAATATATATTGTTTAATATTATGCTTTAAAAGTATTAGGTTATTATGAATTAAATATATATTAGATAACAAAATTTTTATTATTTATTTTCGAACAGCTGGTCTTTTAACGAGAGATTGGAGAAGACGCGAGAGGAAGAAATGGGGTCAAGAAGGTGCCAGGAGAAAGTTCACTTGGAAAAAACGTTAATTTACTTATTCTAACATGGTGTAATAATTTTCATTGTGCATACAATAAAATCATATGAAACAGCACTATTTTATTTCGAAAAATATTACATTCGTCCAAAAAAAAAAAAAAAAAAAAAAAAAAAATTATTCCGCGTGTATATTTTACAATATATAGTTTCCACAATAGCAACGAGATTAGAAACAATGCGTTGTGTTTTGACTCACCATCTTTTCACAGCGTTACATTTGCTCCAGAGGCATTAGACCAAGTAATTTCATACCTTGTGCGAGGACATTTCTAGCAACATGAAATAACAACAGTCTTTGACTAGCAACATCAGGTGATTCATTTTTTATTCTCAACATTTTGAAGGCCTTATTAATTGCGTGGCTATGTAAAAAACAAAAAAAAACTGTTTATCTCAATTAGATAATTATAGTAAACATTTGATGTAGAATGTACACTTACCTTAAATGAAAAAGATATCCCGTTAATATGCACGGTTCCATTTCTTCGTATGATTTCAATACTATCTCTTCGAATTTGGCAATTAATACGATTAAATCATCGACAACTTCTTCTCGTAAAAGGCTTGGTTCGCATTCCGAAGGTAAGGCAACGCCGCAATTGCGCTTCAAGTTAACGAGTCGGCAGTGAGTGTATTGCAGCTTCACACCAGTGTCCCCTTTCAACTGACCTTACAAAAAAATTGAAAAACCAGATCATACATTAAATATAAAATTAGGTAATTGTGCATACACTTTGATAAAAAATTTACATCAAATGCTGCATTTAAATCGATTGTGTAATCCCGTTGTCGTCTCTTCTTCAAATCGTTAATTATTATCGCAGAAATGCCTAATATATCCGAACTATTATCTGCCGAATCTAGATGAACCTTGGTGGCTGAAAAAAATATTGCAAGGTAATTAGATTGATATTAGACATTATATTTTAATTTTTAATTAAAATAATATTTATATTATCTTACTAGGCGAATCTAATTGTTTCTGTTTCATGATATCTCTAGTGATGTTCAAGATATCTTCTAAAAACATTATGTTTCCCTTTCTCGTACGCATACCATGTAATCGACCAAATTTTACATGTTTCAATCTTTCAACCCATGGCATTTTCATTTGTCTCAATATCTCCAACAGGTTTAAAAAATGTTCGGCTTGAGTATTATCCACTATGTAATACATACAGTCAAAATTATTTTTTTCAAATCTATCGATAGCTGCTGCAATATCTCTAGCTATATATAGAGTAGAACCGTCGCTTTTGATTAAAGGAACGATTTTACCGTTTTCTAGATGTACAACTTTTCTATTTTGTTCATCTGTTATTAATAACTGCATTTTCTCCATTAACATAATTATTTTCTCCATATTCTTGGCACTATACATAGATTCCCAATGATACTCGTCAAATGTGATACCAATTCTACCATAAGTCCTTTTCAATTCTTCGATAGTATATTGTTTGAATGCTTTCCATTGTTCATATGTGATTCCTATGCCAGTTTCCAAGTCATTAAATATTTCTCTTGCACGATCTAATATAGACGAATCTGTTTCAGCCAATTTATTGGCAGTAACATAAGCTGTATATAACGCTTTTATAGGACTCTTTTTCATTTCATCCTCACTAATATCTGCCATATCAATTCCCAATTGAATTAGACCGTATTGCGTGCCCCAGTCACCTAAGTAATTTATTTTCTTGACGTTATTTTCTACAAAATTGTTGATATTAGCAATGTAATTTCCTATTATTGTGGATCTTAGATGTCCTAAGTGAAAGGGTTTGGCAATATTAGGTGAACTAAACTCCACTATTACATTTTTTTTATTATTGACAAAAGTTGGAGCTGATACTGTAAAACAGTTACATTCCAAAATTTCTTTAATGCACTTCTCTCTGGAAAAATTGAAGGATATTGCATTGTTTTCTATACTGACATTAAAAATACTATTTGAATCATTATCTATGATATTATGTACTTTATTTTGCATATCATATTGTCTGGTTTTTAATGGAAGTAAATAAGAATAGACTCCATTTGTTTTCTGTGTTTTAAAATGCAAATAAGATGCAATATCAAATATGTTTATATTATTATCACTTTGTAAGGATTTTGTAATCTGAAAATAAATGAATTGAAAGATAATTAAATGTATCAAAAGTGATTCCAAACAGTTAACTTTTGTGTAATATATCTCAATAATAATGAATAGTAATTTCATATTAAAATAGAAAATACCTTTTTTAAAATTGTAGTCCTCATACTATTACTCATAATGTTCGATAATTTAATAGTTTAAATAAAACAATCGATTATATATGTTTTTATTTGGAATTATCTTCAAGATAAAAGTGGCTAACCGGTATTATATCATAACATAAACTGTGTATAATGTAATATCAGATTATTTATTCATATATGAGCAATGTTGAACAAGAAAAAATCAGAAATATTCAATGCCAATCACACAGATTCGATGATTGCACATTGCACTAGGCTAATTTCTTAGAACCATAGACATAGTATATCTAGACCGAGTGTTGAGGAGTGGGGGCCGATGCCCACGTAATGCAAATCAATATGGCGATTTTATTTCGATGCTTATTGGTCCAGACGGTCTTATGCTATGCATATGCAGCTATGCCAATTTGTGTGTGAGGGCCTATAGGCTTTACGCATAAAACGCATAGACTGCATAGAAAGTCGTTCCGGTTTAACCAATGCGCGCAATAAAAGCGCTTTGGTAGCGCTGAGAATTCCCTAGATTGTATTAACCGTACTGAATTCTTAGTACTCGTCCCAGCGCATTGACTCCCTGCCGAAAATGGTCGATTAAAACCGATTAAAACGGATTAAAACGGATTATGTTTTAATCGGTTTTAATCGGTTCAATCCGCGCCCGGATTAAAAAGTAATCGATTTTAATTCCGAACAAACTATAATCGGTTTTAATATCGCTTTCGCGGATTATTTCCAATCTGAGCGTTTCTTGCGAAATTCGGAACGGATAACAAATTTTTCATTGCGATGGAACAGCAGTTGTACGAATTCCCGGTCCTCATAGAAGAAAGTAACGAAATAATAATTTTATTTCTAAGTCAAGAAGATATGGAGAAAGCAAGCCAAGGTAAAATTAATGTATTATTTTACCCTGATTTATTTAATGTATAGGTTAGACGTTAGTTTAACTATTGTGTTATTTTTTATAGATTCAGCGTTTTTGATGAATCTTGTTGCAAAGGAACGAACTGTAAATCATACTATAAATAATGCTGTAAATAATAATGTAAATAACACTGTAAATAAAAACAATAATACAAATTGTTGCCAAATTGGCATCAAATTTGCTCAAAACTTTGTAATAGTTTAACTATTGTGTTATTTTTTATAGATTCAGCGTTTTTGATGAATCTTGTTGCAAAGGAACGAACTGTAAATAATACTATAAATAATGCTGTAAATAATAATGTAAATAACACTGTAAATAAAAACAATAATATTGAGCCAGAAGTTGAATTGGAAGATGCGAATGAAACCGCTGACAAAAACAATGCTGGTAAGATGTATTTTATTTTTGTGTAATCAATATCTATAATCAACTTTTTAATTTTGTATAAAAGTATGTTTATGCAAGTTTAAGAACAATATATATAAATATTAATATTTCTTAATCTTTAAATTTTGTGTTTACTTTTTAATTTAATTTTTAGATAAGTTAAAAACATTTGTATGGCCAGACAAAGCGGTATATTTATTAATTGAAATATATAGAAAAAAGGAGGAAGAGTTCACAAATGGTTTCAAGCGCAGTAATAAAATTTGGGCTAAAATTGCTGCTCAAATGAATGAAGCTAATCCAGCCTACGAATTAACAGCACAGCAATGTACATAAAAAATATCTGGCTTGAAGCGGACATACAAAAATATTGTTGATCAAAATAAGAAGAGCAGCAATAGTACAATAGAAATTCGTGGGCATTTTTTCGGTATGTTTTATCACACACATATATGTATATACACACACACACACACACACACACACACATATTTTGTTTATTGTATACGATATTCACAGGTATGCAACAAGATATATTTGTATATTGAATATTGTAACGATGCATCACTCTCTCAGTAATGCACCGTTACCCGGCCGCCGATCCGCCGCCCGACGAACACCGGTCGGGCAAATGCGGAGGCGCCGAGCGCCCATTTTTTAACTATAACAGAAACGCGTAAATAGCTAACCGCCGTTAGGCGCGCGTAAACATCTCGAATCGACGACGCGCTCGGGTAACCGACCCGACCGTTACCGAAAATACCCGAGCCGCGCACGCCGCTTCGAGATATTACCGTTAGAACAATACGCGAATTACGCAGACGCGCGCGCCGGAGAATTAGTATAAATAGAGCGCGTTTCTGATTATCGGGACCAGACCTTTCCGATCCAGCAGAGTCAGTAAGACGTCTGAAACCTTCCGAAATCCTGATAACGCTCCTAAGAGAAAAAACAACGGGGTTGGGTGTACTCAGCCTCCGCCAAGAGTTTGCGACATCTCTACGAGCAATCCTGACACCACCACAATTAAGAGGTACCCGGGATCGGGCGTACTCGACCCCGCCGAGAGTTCTCGGCCCCTCGCTAGCTATTCCGTCCACCTGGTGCATCGGCATTGTTCCAGTGGCAGGGAGTTCTCTGCCACCGACGGGATTCCTCGTCGGCCGATACATTCCGGCTTCCGCCACCCGCGATCCAGATACGCGAATCATAGCCGACAATTACACGCACGGACAGACCGTTAGCAACCGCCATTAACGCGTCCAACGCGCCATTACTACGGGAGCGCTAAGTCCCGCGCCCTACCGCGTCACCGATCGACATCCGGAATCGATACACGCGTCGAAGGACCGCCCACCGCCAACCGACACGGCCGCGCAGGACCACCCGACAGCTAACGGTTCCTGCCGGATTTACGCCGCGCGATTAATAATCGATATTCGACCGAACACCCGAACGCGCGACCCGCGCTGCGCGCAATCGCGGTGCATTGCATGCACCCTCCGGCATTGCATACTCGCACACCGACAGTATACGTACTCGCACGCATACATTGCGTACTCGCACACATACATTATACGTACTCGCTCAACTACATCATACGCACTCGTCACTGTCACTCGTCTCGCGCGCACACACACACACACACACCTCGTACACCTATACATACACTCACGCTGTACAAACACACATTTACACGCAATAAAGTACATTTCTACCAAACATCAATTCGCATTCGTGTCTCGATACCACTTTCACGAATCCAGGATCCCGACCGACTTATCCGTCGCCCGCATCGCGAAAGCGGCTTGTTACAATATATTATCCCTATTATGCAATAGGTTATGGATTCACTATTTGCCGACAAAGGGTCCATGTCGCCTCCTGCAATTGCCACGCAAGTGACGATCCATCGGATCCAAATCAGGAAGAATCGTCGTTATCAGTATTTTGTTCCGTTGAATCGAAAAGTAAGTTTTTGTATTTATGTATTAGTGGATAACAACAATTCTGAATAATATATAGTCAATAGTCAGTATACATTTATAATATAAGTGCAAAATGTGCAAGCAAGATGAAGAAAATTAATATTAATTTAATTTAGTTCTTATTTGTCATAGTGTGACGTTTTTATATTATCTTTTACAGATCCGCCGAAAAAGAGAAAACGGATCGAAAACATTATGGAAGAATTTTTGGATAATATTGCGATGCGGGGCGCAAAGCGGAGACGCAACGCGATGGTTGCGAAGCGGCGAGAAGCGCAAGACAGGCTCGGCGTGCAATCGTTCCCGGTTTATTTACATGCGCTGACGGCGCGATTAGAACTAGAGGACTTATTACGAACAGGCCTTATATCTAACGGACTTAGTACAAGACAGGTCTTATTACTAGCAGGTCTTTTAACTAGCGGACTTAGTACTAGACAGGTCTTATTACTAGCATGCGGTTACAACTAGCGGACTTAGCACTAACAGGCCTTAAAACTAGCAGGTCTAGGACTACGAGACTTTGAACTAGCGGACTTATCTCTATCATGCGATTATATTTACAGAGCGGTCTGTACATGCACTTATCATCTAAGGTTAGGTCGGGCGACCAGGTATTGCCGGCAGGCTCGAGTGTCACGTCGAGCGCTGCCTAAGCAACGGAAGTCGGTTCAACCCGACGGGGCCAAGTACAACCTTGGCCCGAGGTATAGAGTGCCGGTTCAACCCGGCGGGGCTGAGTACAACCTCTGCCCTAAGAGGTGCTAGGTAGTGGTGAGATCGGTATCAGGAGCTGGTCGGGATAGGATCTGGTCCCGATGTCTCGGCCGGCCGGGCTTATATACCCGGCCGGTGTCCCCCACTGTGCGCCGTCGGTCCGGCGGTGGGAGTCGGTACCGCGTGGGGACCCCGCGAGAGCGAGACAGAGCGTGTC